TATATATATATATATATATATATATGTGTGTGTGCGCGCGCGCGCGCGCGCGCGTGTGCAAACAAAATATCATGAAAATAAAAAGCTCCATACTTTATTTTCGAACGTTAAAATTGATATCGCTCGAAAATAGGGAGGTTATTGATACGCATTCAATTAATTTCTAACATCTAACACGATACTCAAGGCATGATATGAATATTTGTGTGTATGCAAACAAAATATCATGAAAATAAAAAGCTCTGTATTTTAATATTTTTGAACGTTAAAATTGATATCGCTCAAAAATAGGGGGGTAACTGATACACCATCAATAAATTTCTAAAAGGAAATGATCAAACTTTGATTAAAAGTCATTCAGGGCTCCAATTTCAGCAAACTTGCAGTAATACTAACTGACTCGACGAGACGGGCCCAATATTGATCCAATCCAAGTCAAATCAAGCCCTCAATCAAGACATTAAACCATCTTTTGAAAATTTTTCGGAAACATTTAAAAGGTCAAATGGATGTCGAATCAGCCGAATTTATAGTCAAATCGGCCGTCTCGACAAAATAAATCCAACAAACCTAAGATCACTCAATTCTGATATCGTTAAGGTACTCAAGTGTTCATTAAATGTCATCTGATCAGAAAACCTCTCCGGACCGTCCGATCAAAGTAGTTCATCTTCTTGCATTAATTGCTCCAGGAACCCTATAAAAAGAGCCTCACTCTCCTCTCATGAAACGAGGGGGAGAGAGCTTGAGCTTGAGGAAAAATTTGAATCTTTGAGAAGCTGAAGTCCGGCACCACTCTTGTCACCGTTGACCCCCGCCGACCGCCTGCCGTCGTAGACCTAGCCGACGTCGTCAATTGCCGTCAACCACTGCCAACCACCACTTACCGACCACCGCCGATTGCTATCAGTCGTCGCATGTTCATTGCAACAAGTTTACAGACACATTGACGTTGTAATTCGAAGGATTTCTTAACCCTTTCCCATCTATGGAATAAGGGGTCTTTGTAATCATCAACTTATAATAATTTTTTGCAACTAAGTCAGACTCTGTGATTTTTTCCCTTTCTGGGCTTTTCACGTAAAACTTCTGGTGTCACTACTAGTTTTATTCTCTCTTCTGAGGGTGTTGAATCTTCGTACAATGCTTAGACGATATATTATTACTCTACCGTCACAAATTTCCTAGCACACATCAATTATAAATATTTTTAACACAACTATTATAGCGTTTAAAAATTTTGGCAGGCATAATCATATAAAGTAATTTCAAATTAGAACAAACGAAGGAATTTTTTAGGAAATAATGTATGATCGATGTAAGAATTTTAAACAAAGTGAATATAATTAATTTGAGTATTTGCTTAGGTCTACAAATGTTCCCCAAAGATAATAGACAAGAATTTGAAACTAGGGCATTTACATACATACCAATCAATTATTATATATTTACATATTTAATAACTGAACTTTAGTTATTACATTTATACCACCCAAATCTTTCATATCATATCAAAAATACCACCTTTTTAACTCTTAAAGGGCGAAATGGTCATAATGCACTTTTTCATGCATAGAAAAAGTGGTGTGTGTGTGTGTGTGCGCGCACGTGTGTGTGTGTGTGTGTGTGTGTGTGTGTGTGTGAAAAATTTGAAGTTTAGATGTTAGATATGTAGTGTGTGTGTGAAAAATTTGAAGTTTAGATGTTAGATATGTAAATACATAGAAATTGAGTGGTATGCATGTAAATCTACCTTGAAATTATCATCCTATTATGACCATAGCATCGTTGCATAATATTTTTTAGAACGAATCTTTTACATCTCATGTAAAGCTTGTTAAATAAATACCACTGGAGAACTATGTATGGCCAAAGTTGATTTGAATAAAAACTACAGCTCTTAAATATCATTGAAAGAATGAATTAGATGCAAAAAATATTAATCATATAAAATGATTCTACATCTGACTTTATAATTAAAACTAAATGTGAATTTACGCTGAAACCTACACTAAGATATGCACTAGAAACAATTCACAAGCGTAAGCTTAAAATCGAGCAAGCACCAAAAATTTTGAATTTGAAACTAAATATGAAATCACAAATGTATACAAGCTTGCATCCAAAACAGACATATCCCTAACTTTAAAACAAAACAAATCATAACCACTAATTGTTCAATCAATTTAATAAATTGATAATACAACTGCTGAGCAATTATCATAAATATTATACTTGTATCCACGAGTTAAACTGAAATAAAGTTATTTTTAGTTTTTGAATTTTTAATTGACATGAAAAAACAATCTTTATTGAGAAAATTAAATTTCATCAATATATTCATGGATTTATCAATGATAATTTATTTCAGGAACACAAAAATTTGACAATGCATCCAACTATAACGGCAAATGGCTCATCATGATTAATCTTGTCATTCAATTATTTTTTCTTTAGAGAGGCTATCCATCTATATAGTACATGACATAATTGAATCAAGCCTATCAACTTGGTTTACCGCTATAAGAGGAGGCTTTTATGGAATCTTATAAAAAAATAGTTTAAGTTTTCTTTATCTTTCTCCCCACTCATAATCATCTATAGTATATTAATTGGCAGGCATATAAGAATCCCTTAATTATCCCAACATGCATCATATCTTCTAGCATTGAATGTTATTGGCATATATGATTTGCATTAAAATATTTACATGATTATGATAATTATAAGTCTAATGCAGATACAAGCGATGAAAAATTCACATAAAGTGATAAGGTGATGGTCCGTCTAAATCCAAAATAATTTTCCCACAAGAATTCTTAAAGAATTAATTGCAAGAAATATAAAGCTATATTAAGCTATACAATGATTTATGATGAATGCAAAAAATGCAAATAATTTACAATTAATCCATTTTATTATGTATTTGATCTGAATTTATATCATAAATCATTGAAGAATACCTCGAATTCTTCGCTTTTTTCACTAACTCATAGTTTCACATCCAATGCATACACATAAATTTTAGATGATCAACTAAATCCTGTATCCAGGGCTATTATTTGAAGATAAAATCATGGCCACTACCAATAGTAGATGGCATAAGAGATAAACCTACAGATTAGCATTCATGAATATATCTACAAGAAATTCCACAATGTCTGTACTTACTGGAAGAGCATAAGCTAAAAAGTTGACAGATCCAATGTTCTACAAGTCGGTCCAAATTTATGCAGCTTATTCCATGCTCCAAACAACTTCTTTTGTGATTCCATCATAATAGTTAACGGCTCCTAACGACTCTGTTGGCAGCAACTTCTACAAATATTACAAGGCAACTTCCACAGCTCTCATTTGTTGCATGTTCAAGGTACTGCAACAGCAAGAAACCTAGCATAAACCTAGCATACAAATTGACCCTCTCAAGAATTTTCTATTGTTGAAGTTGGTTCGTTTTAATATGGGCTGCTTTTTGAGTTTTACTTTGCAATTATAAATACGGATCAAAGGCAAGTAGGGGACTCATTAATGCAGAACTAAATATTGATTTGGATGTACAAATCAGTGTGATTTCATGATTCAGCTCCTTGCTTAAGTAAAAGAATTAAAATTCCAAGAAAATGTTAAATCCTTATGCAAGCAACATGCATTCTTTTTCTACTATCCTATCCTTTCTTTCTGTACTTCCACCCCAACACTTCCGTTGTTAGTTGAAAGTGAAATTATGCATGTAATATTTGGTGCAATCTAAATTTCTTTATATGTGCACAAGCATTCAATCATGTGAGTGGCTCTCTGTGATGCTTAAATTTCTAGTCAACAATATCTAGTAAAGGTAGGAAATCTTTCCTAAAATGAATTTTAACGATGGTCAATTTTCATCAAAGGCAATGGATTTTTTTTATATATATATGAATAACCTGTCTTGTGAATTTAGAATATTTGTTGCCTTATTTTCTACATTGAATGTTAGGTCCGCTTTAAAAAACTCTAAACCTTAAGTTGATATGTATTAGGAATGAGATTACCATAATAGGAAAACATTAATGGTTTGAAGAATGAATTTAGATTCATTCAAAGACTTAGATTTTATATCAAGTGTCTTAGAGAGTCTAAGACATTATAGTGATTACTAAAGTTGTGTTATTGTTAAAAATTAAATAATGAAGAGTATGTTTTGGTGATTTGGGCATGTACATTGGAGGATAAATGCACTAATACAATTGGCAAATACAAAGCTATTGCTAAAGAAAAGGAAAGACAGACTAAGAGTGATTATAAAGTAAAACTTGCGTAAACTAAAATTAATATCATAAGCAATATTCAACAAGAATAGAAGGAAAAGGAGAATCACATGAGGCCAACCATAAATAGTAAGAAAACGCTAATGATGATGAGGATGAGGAGAAGGATGCAAAAGTCTCCCATTCCAGATCATCAAACAAAAAAATAATTTTTAATTGAATTCTATTTTCTCAAAGAAAACAAATAGCATTTTGATTAACAAAAAGAACAAAGAAAAAAAAAAAAAGGTTATTTGATAGTGTTTAATAAAAAAAGTTATTTGATAGTGTTTAATAAATCCTACAAAAAGTTTGTTAGCAAATAAGAAAATGAATGTCACCATATTAAGACATTAGGATAAAATGAAAATAGTATTGAAGTTTCACCTGCTTTTTCTTCTTGGGTCGTCTTTTACGACGAGGCTTACGAACATCAGAATTTGAACTCAGATTGCTTGTTTGGTCAGCATTTAACAATCTCTGACCTCTAGAGACGATTCTGCTCCTCCTCGGGGGAGCACTTCTGAATGTTGACAGTCTAGTCTTCTCTTCAGACAGAAATCTACTAGGCGGCAATGGTCGAGGTGGTCGCATGAGGGTTTGCTCGCATATATTTCTCTGAATGAAATCAAATTTGGAATTAAAAGTAGAAAAAAATAAAATACAACTATATTTAGGAGCATTCATGTGAAAGAAAAGGGAGAAAAACATGGGGAAAACTACCGAACCAACCTGATTTCTTTCATCACTGGACATACTAGAGGTTGCTTTACCAGATGCACAAGAAGTAGTCTCTCTAAATGAAAAGATAAATATATTTGAAAGAGGTTATATCAAAAAACTAAATCTTAATTAAATTCAATCAAAATAGAAAAATCCAATGCATCAAACAACAATTAGTTCTTTCCACAATATATTCAAATATGGATTTAGATCACTGAAGTTGATCCATTTATAGTATAAGAAAACTTGCAGATTAAAGTTGGTCACTTTAATAAAAGACTGACAGGAGGCTAAACCACCTCACCCCCACTGAACTAAATAGATGAAGTCAATTCATCAAACAATTAGTTCTTTTGACAATACGTTCAAATATGATTTTAAATCATTCATATTGATCCATCTATAGTGTAAGACACCTTGCAGATTAAATTTTGTCACTTTAATAAATGTATACAGGAGGCTAACCATGATGAGGAAATGGACAAATGCACCACCCACAAAAAAGAATTTCTATTCAAATTAAAAAATTAAATTTACTAAGATTGTTATAAGTATGTAAAATACGCTCAAGGAAATATAATTGAATTGAATACTTCAGGACCATTCAATTAATGGATTAAATACTATAAAATTTATGAAAATTAAAATTATTAATTTTTTTTCCAAAGCGTGAAAAATACTCTCAGATTTATAATTGAATTACATACATCAAAAGTCAACACCATTCAATTAATCGATTATTACCAAGAATTAAGGCCCATCCACTAGTATTAATTTATGTGCTTGAAGCATGGTTAGATACACACACATGCTCACACATATATACATACATGCAAATGCAAGAAAAGAAACATGAGTAAAAAAAGAACAAAGATATTCTATGTCCAAGGAAGAATGGAATGAGAAAAACTGTCTAGAATTAAAGTGAAGAGATATTTACTTTTTTACCCAAGGGTATAAGTCCTTGATTCATCTAAATTAGGTATTGAGCTCAATTATTCGTCTGCTCATAATGATATAGACTTTTGGCAAGATTTTAAAACTAGTTCCTGATATTTCTTAAATTAGTTGAAAAATATATTTTATAAAATAAATTTAAGAATGAATACGATCTCCCATCTAATCAGCAACTAGCCACTAATAAAAATTGTTAATATTTTTTTCTTAACAGCTGGCAGAACAGATATCTAAGATAGCTCTAACTTAATTAAAAATTAAGTCTTAATCATATAGCAGTACTTTAACCTTTTAATTAAATATTTTTTCATGATTCAAGAAACTAGAAATGTTGCTTTATAATATTATTCTATAAAGATATCTGCATTTTTTTACTATTAAACAAATTAAACTACAAATAATATTATACTTTTTAATGATGTTTTTTATAATCAAATTTCTAAAAATTTTGAAATGCCATGGCAACCACTTTTTAAAGAGTTTGTTCAAACATGAGTTCATCGCAAGACAAAATTTTTTTAAGAAAATTCATTAAAAAAATAACATGATTTTGCAACCAAAATCATTCAAACATAAAATAATTCAAATATATGAATAGAGAAATAAAATAATAATTTACAACTTGTTTTTTCTCAATGGGGCGACTATTTTTTTGTTAATAAATGACATTTTATAATTACAATAAAAATTTTAATATATTATATTTTTAATTTTGCCAAATAGATGAAATAATAAATATATTAAACTTTATATTGTAGTAATAGCTAAATATATTACACCCAATAGCACTCTTTCTTCAATGCTCATGAAACAAGAGAAATCAATGAACTTCAATGGATAAAAGGACTTGTAAGTAGCCAAGTCTTCTAGGTGACAAAGATTATTTTATAAGAAAATTCTCGCCACACTTCATTCAACGCATTGCTTGGGCTTAGCCATGATGTTGGAGAGTTCTTAAATGTAGCAAACTCTGCCCATTCCAAACTAACTTTGAATTCATCATCATACAATAGAATTCATCCATTCCAAATTGACCTTATTTAATATACATTGATATGCACACCCAAACAACCTAAGTTCATTTTCAATCCACCTCAAAAAAGTGATTCCAGAGTCCCCTCTCATCCATACATTAAAAAGTCTCATGAGGAAGATATTGGCTTTTCTATGCGATTAGATTTCTAAAGATGCTATTTGGGAAGACTTTATTCTCCACCTTTGGAATATCAGTGGTAAGCTCAAGTCCTGTCATGTTCTTACAACTTAACCAGAACGTGTTCCCTGTTATAAATCATACTAATAATTTGCATTAAACTTTTATAATTGTCATTAGTTGTGTAGAAATTTGTGTGCCTTTTATGCTAGATGTTCTAAGAGATAAATAGTTTGTGTTCTTGAGAGTGGATCCATTAGGTTTTCACGAATCATATACTGACTCACTTAACTTATACTTAATTTAATATAAATCATACTAATAACTAGCATTAAACTTTTATAATTGTCATTAGTTGTGTGGAAATTTGTGTCTTTTATGTTAGATGTTCCAAGAGATTAATAGTTTGTGTTCTTGAGAGTGGATCCATTAGGTTTTCACGAATCATATACTGGCTCACTTAACTTATCCTTAATTTAATATAAATCATACTAATAATTAGCATTAAACTTTTATAATTGTCATTAGTTGTGTGGAAATTTGTGTCTTTTATGTTAGATGTTCCAAGAGATTAATAGTTTGTGTTCTTGAGAGTGGATCCATTAGGTTTTCATAAATCATATATTGACTCACTTAACTTGTTCTTAATTCAATATCACAGACACCTACTTTTGTATGATTGCATTTGCCAGTTGTATCTTGTTTACAAAATTATGTTATAGGTTTAGCCGTGTAGAATCTACATCATTGTGTTTATGGCTTGTATTATTCACTAATTCTCCATGCCTCATAACATGTCTCGACACTTGCATTCAACTCGACTACATTATATTAAGTGGTTGATTGGTTTGCCTGGGTTGTTTAATATAAACACCTCTAATTATCCACGCAAGTCGGTGTTTTATATAAAACTGTAGTAGATTCCATACGAGATGGAAACAAAAGAAAATAAGGTTTGTACAATATTCATTTTTGCTATAAAGGCATATTTTCTTGATAATATATTTCTGTTTTAAATGAACATGATCCTACGAGCAATTTCTGTTTTAAGGGCTTGTAAAGCTAAAGAAAACCTACCGATATGAGCTTTGAATAATTTATTTTTTTTGGGCATCTGGCCTTAGATGTTCTAATCTATTACGAAACCCCATTCCTTTCTCCTAGCACATAGCAAAAACATAATTGAATTGCAGGATTTTCATGATTTCACAGCACCATACCTTGTGCTTTTGTCTGTCCATTCATCATCTGCTTCAACCTCATCACCTGAACTGCCCGCCAAAAAAAAATCATCCTCACTCATATCTTGCAGATCATCATCACTGCCTGTTTCTGCAAACACAAAAGTGTGCAATTTATCATACAAAAAATGAAGGATAAACAATTATTCATACAGATAACCTAACTTAGTAAACAAAATCCTTTAAAATGATATTGCAGTTTAGAAAAAATAAAAAACTCGGCCAAGGTTCGGATTAGACCATTACCTTCTAAATCTTTTCCACTAGCAGCAGCTGCCACTAGGTTTTCCTTGATTTGCTTGCGTAGTTTGTTTCTCTTATCAATATTTTTTGGATTCTCTCCTCCAACAAACAGTGAAACGTATCTCTCTGTCTTAGGAAAGAACTGCGTGATAGTTTACAGCTAATAAGAACTTCCAAAATGCCAAAGTTGTAGTCACTTTATTAATGAAGTTCTCTACTCTTTCTCAAATTTTAAAAACCACAATCAGGACCGTAATGTTTTATATGAAAATTTCCAAAATTACACAATACAATGCATAATTGATGGTTTGTGGTGGTACACCGTGCATGAGCAAGCATGCAGCAAAAAAGATCACCTTCAACTCATTCACAGAAGTTAAGAAAAATTTGAACCTGCTTCGCCTTTTAAAAAGTTCCACATATGAAAGGTTAACATCAGCATGAAGAATCATATAATGGCTTCAACGGGATTAAAGATAAATAAATAAATAAAAATTTTAATTGTTTGAATGGAACCATACCCTAATGTATTCCAGATCCTCCCTCAATTTTGCAAGCTGGTTCTTCTGATGCATTGTCAGATGAAACACGTTGCTGCTTCTCTAAACGCCTAATCATTCTCTCAACCTTTCGTCTCTCTAATAACAATGAGAATAAAATGAGAGATAAATTCAGCACGAAGAACATAATGAAAAGATACTGTCATGCACACCAGGAAAAAGAATATACTTATATTATATATATATATATATAT